AATATATCCAGCGGTTTGAAACAAGGATGTCTGTTTCACCCTTCCTCTTCAACTTCGCTATTGACGAACTCATGGAGATTGCATTCTGCAGGACATGAATTAGAAGGTGTGGAGCTACTGCCAGGAGAACGACTTATTGATTTGGATCATGCAGACGACATTGCCCTCATTTGTGGCAGCTCCCAGACGTGACAAGCTGCACTGGACAGATTAACGCTGGCTGTCAGCGGCTTCGGGCTTTGCTTTGCAACATCGAAGTGCAAAGCTTTCCTTCAAGATTGACAGGGATCGCCTCCTGTGTTGGACCTTGGTGAGGAGCAGCTAGAAGTCGTTCAAGAATTCAATAATTTAGGAAGTTGTATCAGCGCCCTTTGGATCGAAAACGAGATCACGAATTGTGTAGCAAGGGCTCGAGGCTCATTTGCTAGAGTTCAACACCTATGGCGTTGGCGCGACATCACTCACTATCTGAAGGGTAGAGTGTACAATGCAGCGGTACGTTCGACCATTATGTGCGGTTGCGAAACCTGACCCCTTAGATCAACAGACATAAAGAGGCTCGTTACATTCGAGCACCGATGCCTTCGCAGTTTAGCTCACATCTGGTGGGACACCGCGTGAGCAACGAGTGTATTCGACACCTTGTTCATGGAACAACAAAAGGAACTTAACCACTCAGCATCGGCATTTCACGCACCAGGCTCCGATGGCTCGGCCACTTGTTACGCATGTTAGCACACCGACTCCTGCGGCGTTCGTTGTTTGCTCACCGGGGGTGTGGATGGAAGAAGATTGGTGGCCAAGCTATGATTTGGTCGAGAGGAATGAAGGCCTTCACTTCTGAGCTGGTTTTGTGTGGAGGTTCACGGCTCCTTGGGTGTGGTCCAAAAGACGATGAGCACATGAGGCTAGATACACTTGCTGACATGGCTGGGAGCCGGCGTCAGTGGCGTTCGTGCTGTGAACTTCTTTGCCTCTCCCCTTTCCATTTAGCCTCACCCTTCCATTAGGATCTCATTTCGTATTTTAATTTAATTTTACCTATTAATTTTTCTTTTTGCCTAGTAACCGGCTGATAGCTTACCGAAACGATGCCCATCCATTGCTGGTAGCTCAGCTAGCATGCAACTGTTGTATTTCATTTCTTTTATCTTTTATGTATTGCGGCACAGTAGATGACGTGTTTCCCACCTCTAGCTAACGTGTATAATGATATATATATATACATATATACAGAACACAGCTGTTTGTTTTGTGGTGACTATACGATACCTCAGTATAGCGTCGGTACATCATACCCACACCACGCTGTCACTCGACAACCGGCAGTCGCGTTCCGACTGGGGATAATGTAAAACCGGCCCAGCCTTACTAGATTTAAGATTGCAGTTTCTAGATTACGAGACAAACGGATGAATCAATAGACCATCTTCTAAAATTCTGTTAGTGTTGGATACACACTCAACATGTGTCCAGAGCTAACAAGTGCAAGTAGCCGTACTCGTTGACTATTGTGGAATGAGGAGTACGAAAGCGGACGACCAAACGCAACTGAATAGGCGATTCCTATAATCCGGTGCTAGATGATGTTGCTAAACCACAAGCATCAACCGTTACGCAATGATGATATGACCCCGTTAGAGCATGAAGTATTTACAACTCGTATACCAGACCCGATGAGCAGATGGACGCCACCGGTAATGGTTGTTAAAGTATAAGGTCGGAGGTGACGGAAGACTGATCAGGCGTTACAAGGAGTATGGAAAAGCGCAAGCAACATAGGGTAAGATTATCACATCATAGTGGATTCTTAACAAACAAGCGTTTTTCTGGCAAGCTGTTGTCGGATGATAAGCCATCAACTTGTCAAATTTTCAGTAGGGCACAGTGGTGGAGAGCCTTCAAACTGTTGCGCAGGGATCAGCAAACAAAGTGGAGTGGACTGGCAACAGAGGATGTGCGTAGTAATCCATCAAGTTACTCTGCGATGAACAAATCTGCATTAGAATTAAAGAGAGCACAGTGATTAAGACGAGGCAGTAACCCACAGTGCAGATGTACGACTCATAGGTTTGTAAGCTGATTGCTTCGATAGCCATTAGCTCATGATCAGAAGCCTTGCCATCCACGTGGATGTACAAAGAAAGTGACAGCTGTTTGATTGACCGAGAAAGTCCGCTTTGGGTACATCCTATGAAGTCTTGTCAACTATAGCAGTGGCCGTTTCAGCGCTTCAACTTCTCGCGAACTCTGTTCACTCGGCTTGTAGAGAGGGAAAATCGGTTAACGATTCATCCATATTTAAGACCCAAGATGATGTCACCGGGCATTGAATAAACAGTCGATGTAGAAACATGTGAACAGCTTCCGGAAACTAAAGCATAGTATTCCCACATTTATTTCGACAAACGGAGGTACTAAAACCACCGAGGATGAAGCCAACGCTCCATGGATACATTATACTGCAAGATTCCGATTTGCCACAAACATGTGCCATATACCTATGCCATTCCCCCCGACGCCGGTATTTACATAGGTCACTTTAATTTCAGTCACCGTTTTGAGGAAGCTGCTATCGGTGCGCACCCAATTTTCCGCACGAGTTGAGAACATTTCTCCAAAAGCAATACAAGTGATAGCTGCGAGGATAGGTGAGCCCGCAGTTCGATTATTTCAAAGATATTTGAAAGCACAGCAGGATCCTAGCGTGTGCTAGCTGGTAAACCTTTCCCTGATGTTAATGAACCGTGACCACTCGGACCTCACCAACTATCACCAAATGATTCTCCTCACAGTACGCTTAAAGTTGATGGACCCGATCATTGCTGAGACACTGAGCAGCCACTTAGAAAGATCCAACATCATAGCGCTGGAATAACGCGAGTTCGGTCAGTATCGGTCGTGCACTATCAACCAACTGATAACACGTGGTCGTTGGACGAAAACTGACAATAGTGAGACCAGCACTGTTGTCATGCATCTCGAAGTATCCAAAGGCTATGACCGCTTAGATAACACAATCCTTCTCCAAACGCTGAAAACATACGCAAGTGAGAACCTTGTTCATGTATGGATCGAAAATTTCCTTCTCCAGCAGCGGCTTTAGGTTTGGTTTCAGGGCTCATCACCGGATTTTATTGACGCAAACTGCGGTGTTCCGCATAGGTCAATGTAGGGGCTGCGCCTATGCTGCATCTTCATCGACGACCTCGTGCGCGTCATAAGGTCGAATTTCCTGCATTTTGCCGACGACATCAAGATATAGTTAGCAATGTGTATTAACAAAGATCACGATGTACTGAAAAGAGACTTGGATGGGGCTTCTGAATAGTCAAATGCAAATCTACTTCCGTTCAGCTGAGTCAATTGCAACATATACATGTAAGCCACAAGCCCGCTAATGCGTAAACGCTTGGAGACTGCATATTGAAGGCTACCTTAAGGAAGCGCGACTTTGGGATAGTGATGCAAGGTGACCTCAGCTGTTCAAGCAATACGTGAACCTGTCCGAACCCGTGAACCAGCATGTTGGTCTCTAACGAAGGACGTCCAATCTGTTTAATCCTCCCAATCTTCACACAAATGCTGAATGCCTATGAGAAGCCCCATGTAGATCATCTGATTCAGGCGTGGTAACCCTGGCTATTAAACGACCTTGCTGCACAGGTGACCGCACACCCAAGAGAAATCAGAAACGGTGAGGACTTGCTCCATCTGCAAACCCGTTACACCAGAGAGCCATATGAGGGTTTAGCGGAACTTATCGCCTTCTACGAGGCGACCACATTCTGACGTATGAGAATTCGGAACTCCGGTCACATTTTCCGTCACCACCTAAAACAAAACTGAAGGGCCGCCAAGCGGATGGAAAAACACCGGAATGTTTCCACTCCGAAGTTGTCAGCCACAGAATGCCGTTCTGACTTTAACTCATTCTACGTCCTCGCTACCTTTTCAAATAAATGAATGGACGATTCATTAGACTATTCGCATTGCTTGACGTGACAACCGCTTAGCGAGTGCTGACAAGACGCAAACAAACCTTCTTGTAACCGGCCCTCACGAAATCGGAGTATTCGCATAAACAAACATGTTTAGGTGAGCCTATAGAGTCGCGGTTTTCTTTTCGGCCAATATTTCCACTTTGCACTTATGTGTTTCACATTGATCATCCAACGATACTTGTCTATCCTTAGCTTCCTTACCCGTTTCCTACCATTGTTTTATTGTGCCGTGTTATTCAAACTGCTGTAAGGAATTGACCATTTTAAATAGAATATGCGATGCCATATCTACACGGCATCAGACGCAAGACTGATCCATGAACTGGATCACTGCTATAGCAAGCTACTTTTTCCGAAGCGGGTACAAGGATGAGAACAACCAAATGTCTTGATGAATAGCATTACGAGTCGCGCGATTATGATGAGCATCTAAAGATAGTCAAAGAATGGCAACTTCCGAAATCGAAGAAACGGTAAAGACCAGCAACCGCCATTGATGTGAACACCTAGTCGATTCTGTCACTGCACGCGCCCCCACTTTACGCACCTCCGAAGACACATAGATGGTCCCCTGTTTGTTATCATTGTTGATGGATATTGCTCAATAGCACTAAAAGTAGAATCGTACATCATTTAGCGCGAAAATCCTAGGATCATGTGCGAACTGTGGCTAAAGAGAAAGTGCGCTTACTAATAAAAGTTACGGTAAGTCGCATCTAGAATCATGCGGCCTAGGCGCATTGTTATCAGTACAATATTTCGAGTCACTACAAATGGTGTTGGATGACACTACTGTGGTTGCAGTCTCAGCTATATCAAGTCACCTGGAGGCGGTTAACGAGATACACAAATCCGCGAAATCATACCGGTATCTTTTCATCAATAGATACCTAATCTGCTGGAATGGCAGTTAAAAACGAGTTATTCCGAGTAAGGCAGAGTTTACTGATGGTTTAATGGACAACTGAGACATCAGGTAAAAACTACTCGGCTTACGTGCAACTGAGACTTTGACATCTTAGACAATACCAAAGCATCACACTTTCCCATGAGTAGCATTCTCATCTCGCTAAGCTCAAACGTTGATTGGTCAATACCGTTCTTTTTTCACCAATGAGGTCCAGCGTGCACTTTATCTACCCAACAAAATATTTGGCTACTTTACAAGGTAGGCATGGGGTCATCTTGTCAGGTCACTGTGCCACAGAAGTGCAACTATGCTAGTGTGCTGGCGCTGGCGCTGGCTGCACGTTTTCAGCGTTCCGTTAAACAGTTAAGCAGCTGAGCTCCTTGGTGAACCTGAAATGTTTCGATATTTTGCAACTCTGGATTTGATTAATTTTTGTATCTGACAACCACCCATCAGTGTTGTATTTGTAAATCCTTATCACTTCGCTTTCCAGGTAGGATGTACGCTACACTGCCTCTTCTTGTCACTGATCTTCTGTCCCACTTAGTAGCTCTTATCAGCGGAGGTTTGGTCCAACTGCTTTTACTGTTTTCTGTATTCTCGGACTTGGTATGCCCCATACAGGTCATCGCTTTCAGTTAATATCTGAGTGGCATCTCAAGACACACACACTTATGTCAACCAACTGCTGAATTGTGACCCAATCGAATACAAGAAAAGCGTTCGGTTTGTGTAACGTGGCATTCTCATCCGCTTAAGATAGTAAACCAATCCGACTTAATACGGATCAGTAGATTCGTTGAATAGTAACTGGGGTCCCGCAACACCGAATTGTTTAACAAGAGTACAGATTGTGGTTCCGGAAGGCAGATCAAGGCAGGAAAATGAATAAATCCATACTTTTTCGACAATGTCGAGCGCCCCTTTTTAGGCTTGATCATGAGAAAAGGACAAGCTATGATCAGAACATATACAAATGTGTCACAAGTTCGCCAGTAATAGTGGACCTATACATACATGTGCATGTAGGTGCATGGATTAGAAATATTCTTCTTTATTTGTTTTGCTTAGTTCCGTTATTCTGCCGCATTTTCCGTGTCAAATTTGTATGGTTATTTTCCTTCAAATTCTGTGTTCCTTGTTTGATATCCCCGGTATGGCTGCGCTTAATATGAACGTCAAACACCCTGCAACTCGATGCCTGGTTTCAGCCTGTAAGTCTTTACTGGGAGAGAAGGGATGGAATGCACCGTCCTCGTGGTGGTACCAGCCTCAAAGAATGGTTTCATCCATTATGGAGCGGCCTACTGCGCCACCATCATTTTTTGTACGCCTGGTGCGTACGACTCCCAATATAGACAGGAATGCTGCAGCACTACATGCTGAATTAGTCTGAATCTGAACCGTTGATGAAACGTGGCTCCCATCCGCATGGCGCCCAGTCTTTCACCTTCGGGTTTACGCTGGATACGTGCTGTTTAGGTAGAGTTGTGAGTTGCGCAGCGCAAGTCGCCCAGACGCAGGTGTCCTGTTGCTGTCCTATGAAGGCAGCATTGACAGGCAAACTGGAACTGGATGTCACCACCTAAGTATATGTGAGTTAGGTTTTCAAATGTGCAAGCGCATTTCCGACTGTATTAGACTGCATCTCCACTGTGAGAAGGGATCAAAAACTTTGGCGTAGATTACTGATGTCTGCAAAGTGGATCCGATCATCTGGGTAGGCGAGGGGCAATGACATTATTTAGTGGTAAGTCATATCAATCACGTCACGGTGTTAGTAACCAGTCAGTTGAAGTTTTGTAGAGATAACGCTTGTCAGACGGCAACCCACCGCGTACTGGAACACAGTTGCTGGACTATTTGGTGGAACGAACTTAATCCGAACCACCCATCTGGCATAACGAGGGTTTTCTGATAGCCAGCTTTTATTTTGTACATTACAATTCCGATCTGTGTTGTTAGCTGGGGGAACAGGAAAATGCAGCTGGTGAATCAGGCACGATTGCGGACCACCCGAGGCGCCAATCAAAGGCGTCTTGCGATTTGAACAAGCAAACTCAACATGCAGTTCACCCTTCTGTACCGATCACCTAGTTGTGCACTGAAATAATAACTGTAGCTGAAGATTTACACAACGGACTCAGGCAAATCGGGTAATCACCAGACTGCTACAATTACCCCACTGTACATCTTAGATTGAAATTTTGATATTTCAGCTACTGGAATCGGGGCGTGCCTGATCCAGGATGTTCACTCCAGAACCAGAAAATTTGTTCATCAAGAGAGGCAGATAAACAAAATTGCTGACGCGTTTTAGTTTTGTCCAACATGTCTAGTCATTCCAGTTGTCAACTGTTCATGTATGCACATGAAAAAGTGCGACGGATTGAATAAGACAATCGCGCATCTGGTGAAAACGCAAATTGCAACCTCGGAGGTAAATATGGCCACGCTAAGGTCTCAAGCAACCAATGGAAATACCGCCTTTGGGTCTAAGGAGAGAGCCAGATGCTCAAACTGCACTGCAACGCCTGTGTCTCCAAACCTTCTAGCCCATCTCACTACTATTTGCGTACAAACTTCAAACATGATGGCTTCCACTCCTTTAGGCAGTGCGGCCCACCTCAATTCACTGGTCATTGTCGTATACGGGACCCAACTCAACATGGAGTGCTGTCATCCAATCAGACCATACAACTGTCCAGCCAATCACCACTAAGCTAGAACCAACCAAACCGACAAACCCCAGTGAGTCTGGTAAACACGTGAACTTCCTGTTGACACTTTGTTGACTCTGCTTGTCAGTATCTCTTGCTCCGCTGTATCAATACTACCGGTCATTTCCACGATCTAGTCTTCTATCCACCTACTAGAACAGTTCGGGTTATATCAACTGGCTACGGAATTGGTACTTAAATGGCAAGTTCAGCAACGATCTCCGTGCAATTCTTCAACAACATCAGTCGCAGTTCGAGGCCGCTCAGCTCCGTTTACTCGATAAGCTAACGCGTAACCTCTCCCTAGTTTCCAAGGACAAGGCACCGCAGGATGAACATACCAGCATTGAATCAATTGTTTCTACAATTCAGATTTTCCAGCATGACGTTGCATCGGGTGTTACTTTTTGAGTCCTGGTTCAAGCGCTATGAGGACATTTTTCGTGTTGAGTTCGGTGGGAAGGAGGATTCATGGCGATCACGAACACTGCTTCGTAAGTTGGGGATCACGGAGCATGATCGTTTCGTAAACTATATTTTGCCCAAACACCCACGCGAGTTTTATTTTGATGACACGGTTCAGTGCCTCACACAAATTTTTGGAGAACGTTCCTCGCTCTTCAGCACACGCTATCATTGCTTAAAACTCGTCAAGCACTCCATGGACGACTACATTACCTACGCAGGTATGGTTAACCGCGAGTGTGAGCGTTTTAATCTTGCATCCATGACCGAGACACAGTTCAAGTGTCTCATATTTATTTGTGGTCTACAATCTCCGTCAGACGCGAACATCCGCACACGTCTTCTCACCAGACTGGAGCAAGACCCAGACATATGGTTGCAGAAAATGGCTGAGGAATGTCAGCGCCTGATCATTTTGGAGCATGATTCCCGTATGGTGGAACAGCAGCAGATCAACGTGGCGGATGTCAGACCGGTCAGAGCACAGAAACTGGAGTTCAAAAAGCCACCAACAGCATGTTGGAACTGTGGCGCATGGCACTACGCCTCACAGTGCACTTTTCGCCGACATCGGTGCAATCAGTGTCAACGCTTTGGTCACAAAGATGGTTTCTACAAGCCACGCAACTCAACTAAAGCTGACGATTCCAACAAACGGTTTCCGAAACCACCGCAGAAGGCTAGTCGCAACATTGTTGCTAGCTATCAAGCCAACGCGACATCGTGAAGACGCTATCTAACAGTGAGTGTAAACGGGTATCCCGCGACTTTCCAGGTAGACACAGGATCGGACATCACGATTATTTCGCAAAGGATTTGGGAATCCATCGGACGTCCTCCAGTTAGGCCCACTCAACAGACAGCCCTCAGTGCATCCGGAACAACTCTCGGTTTGGTTGGTGAGTTACGTTGCTTGGTATCTTATAATGGTCAAAAATTTGAGTCTACATGCTACCTCACTAACCAACCAGGATTGAATATTCTCGGCATTGACTGGTTAGATAAATTCAACCTTTGGAGTATTCCGTTTGATAAAGTCTGCAGACTGACACTGGGCATCAGCATTCCTCCCGTAATAATCGCTGCAGGATTACAGCAGTCCATTCCACAAAGGTTATTTCAGCGACACGCACTAGTTTTCCAGGAAGGACTTGGTCTTTGTGGCAAAATGAAGGCTCCATTGCAGCTGAGAGCAGATGCTAAACCCGTTTTTCGTCCTAAACGTCCGGTGGCTTATTCTACATTAACCAGTGTAGAGCTAGAGCTGGATCGCCTACAGCTAGCAGATGTCATAAAACCAGTCGGGTACTCTGTCTGGACTGCTCCAATCGTAGTGGTACGAAAGGCCAATGACTCAATTCATGTGTGTGTAGATTTTTCAACTGGTCTCAAGGACTCCCTTCAGACACACAGTTATCCACTACCAGTCCCAGAAGACATTTTTGCCAAACTTCCAGGCGGTAGACTGTTTGCCAACCTTGATCTAGCTGATGCATATCTACAAATCGCCATTGACGATGGGTCAAAGGAATTGTTGACAATTAGAACACACCGTGGATTGTTTCAGTTTAACCGATTGCCATTCGGGGTTAAAACAGCACCAGCTATTTTCCAGCAGCTTATGGATACCATGCTCACGGGCATTGACGGCGTTGCAGCTAACTTAGATGATATCTTAGTGGTCGGAACAAGTCCAGAAGAGCTAGCAGTGAGGTTCGACCAAGTTTTGGATCGTATAAAATAGTACGGATTGCGCTTGCGACCAGACAAACGCAGCATACTTTTGCCACAACTTAAATATCTGGGGTTCATTATTGATCAGAATGGACGTCGACCCGACCCAGCCAATATTTCAGCTATTGTTAACATGCCGGCACCAACAGACGTCAGTACGCTACGCTCTTTTCTTGGCATGGCGAGTCACTATTCTAATTTTCTCCCGGAAATGCATCAACTGCGAGCACCTCTAA